TTACCTACACCTCTCATTAGAACTTCAGAAAGTTAAATGAAATGTCCATCACGGAAAATCGAAAGTTTTCGTTATTAGCAGGCATATAATTTGCGTCTTACAGTTTCATATTTGCGTTAAATATCTGAAAAACCGTAGCAGCACATAGTCTAAATGGCTATAATCTGTGGAAACAATGAAATTTTCTCAAGGCTATCACCATGTTGACGTCATCTGCGTTAATTTTATGTTGCTCTGCTGGACGTTCACCTAGCTGAATAGCTAGATACCCATTAAAAAGAACACTATGCTCTCCGCCACTCCTACTTACACGTATGTATTCCACGCATTCCAAGCATAGCACTTTATCCTATGATTTATTTCCGATTTCATCAGGTTCTAGGCTTGAGCACCTTCAGACGAACAATTTTGACACAAACTGTGTATGAATCTCCTTCCTTGGCCACAAACCATTTTCGTTTCTTAAGTTGCTCTAAAAAAAGCTATAGTTTTCCATCTAGAGCTATGTTTCTTTTGTTGTTGCACACTGATGTCCTCGTAAATCCTCAACATAGATAGGATCGTAATTGCTCAAAGATCGATGAGTTTCAGTGCCAAAAATGATGTCCGCTGCGCGTTCAGCCGGTATGCGTTATAGGAGGAATAACGTGCAATCGAAGTCACATGTTAAGGTGATTATGCTTTAATTAACTGAAAAAAACTCTGGTTCATAGGCCAGAGCTAACCTAGTTTCCTGGGTCGGAAGTTACTCTTCGATTGACAGCCTAGAATTTCGAGTTTCGTTTTCTTGTTCTTTGAAATCTATCACATTTTGATGTTTCTAGTTGTAGGCATAGTTTTTTACAGATTTCGTGACTTTAGACATTGAACATGCAGCAAATAACAGCACTTTAGCAAGTACTGAGTTATTTTTTGGACAGGAAACAATGAAAAGACAGAAATGTACAGTTTGAACTCTGCCAAACACCTTTATATTGAATTGATTGGGACATTGACAAATAAGTTTGTTTCCTCGATAAGCAGACTCGAGGTTGTTAAATCAATATTTGTTGGCTAACGTTTCAGTAGATTACGGCTTCTTCACAGCGTGAGGAGCGTCTCATTGACACGCAAGCTACTTAAGTACTTCCATAACCCGAACGTGAAAAAGCTCAAATCGTAGACATGAATCGCGTAGTAAATAGCTTCCTAAAAACGCTCACCATTTTTTTGCATCATTCACTAAGTGCGGGAGACCATCCATACAATTTTCCAAAGAATTAATTTCTTTAGTGTGCGATTAAACACTCTTTCCCATAGCAAGCTTTTTTATGTCTTTTCTTTAGGACATATTTATTTTTAACCTAAACTACATTTCTTCCTGCTTAAAGATCTTAATTTCATGATCCATCGATTTCTTTCTTGCCTCTTGATAAACCTGAACAACGGGTTCAGTTTTTACTTAAGAAAAAACATATAAGCAAAGATAAAACAACGATGCTATCATATGCATTGGCCAGCAGCTACATTTCTTCTTCAAAGTAGACATTTTTCACGAAGGGCTTCAGACCGCTATGTTGGAGGAGCAGGGAAGATTTCGGACATGCTGCGCCATCCCTGGGGAGATTATTCGAAATTGGTCATGTATATTGGGTCGTTTTCAACGGCTTATCATCAGATAACGTTGTTCGAGTCCTTCGTGCAAAGCAAACGTAGATGAAAATGGGAAATTTCGCTGTGTGAAAAACACCAGCGATCCTTGTACCGACCAAAGATTATAATTATTCTCATTTTATATGCTCTTGAAACCACTGGTCTCGTTCCAATGTTTGCTCTTAGTCGTTAGAATTCGGATTGCAACATCGCCGGCGAACGGCCCGTCGACTAATTGAAGGATTCTCACTGGTCAAAAGAATCACTGTTCTCCCAAAAGAATACGAGTAAGACATCAAGTTTCTCTCCAATTCTCAAAGACGGTTAAGCGCCTACGGTGACCACCTGATGCTGTGCTGGCTATTCTGGTTTCCAAGAAAAAACGTGCTCTGCAATATATATACAAAGCACTACATTGTTTCTTAATTTTTTAATTTTTTTACATTCTTAATTTTTTAATTTTAATAATTTTTTCCAATTATAGAAGCATAAAGAAAGGAACAACGTGAGTACCCGATAGTTATCCAGTAGATTTCCTTAAAGTTGAAAACCCATCCTACATGTGCTTCTCGCAATTTATACGTTTAATTTCCACATGAAAAAAGTCTCAAAGGATGTAGGAAATCGTTCACGGTTTCCTTACCCAAAAAAGAAAGGTGACTGCAGAAACCTTCGTAATTACTGTTTGACTTGTTCGTTGAGTGTACTCTATATGCTTTTCACGAAAACTATCCCTTTGAGCATATCGAAGACTTTGAATGAGGCATAACGGTTTGAGCAAGTAGGACTCCTACAGGACTCCGCTGCATGGACCACATCCAAATAATTTTACGGCTTATGAAAGTTTGTCAGGAGTGCCGTTTGCAATTTATTCTAGCTATTATCGACTATGAAAGGGCATTTAGGCATCGAAAGGAATGCGATGCCACCTAGGTTCGTCAACAAAGCCGTGAGTCGGACCACTCTTTACAAGAACATTAAATTGCTGTTATTGGAACCGTAAAACAAAAGTACAGCTTTTCCACCGACCCCAACCTTATCACCTTACCTTTATCACCTTATCACCTAACGCCTCCGTCAAGTTACTCGAGCGGATACTAGTAAATCTTCCACTTCACCGTGTCGCGTACAAAAGTGGCACAGTGGGTCCTGCTCTCTCTAAGAGCTCCTTGAACATCATATCTTTTTTAGGGTTTTCGCGAAGGACGCTGACCCTCGGACAGGTGTCCCTCCTGCAGTAGGTTTGTCATTTCGACAAATCCAATGGCCGACGATTCTTGTCGATTTTTTTATCGTCCATAGTCTATAGGCATTACGTGTCCGACCAACCCATCCTGTCTTCGGCAGTTTGGCATGTAGAACGGCATCCGTGATTTTTGATTGTTGACGTAGATCGGAGCTTCGGATTCTTTCTCTCAAATGCGTGATGTGCGATACTCCTAGCATTCCCTTTTTTTATGCAGCGACCAGGTTTCTGACGCATATGTTAGGGCAGGAAGTACCGCTAAGTCGAAAAGGTGGGTACGGAGTTGGGTGTTCTTCGTTCTCTTCGCAACATCCTCTATGCTCTTGAAAGCTCCCCAAGCTGCTCGTTTTTTCTGCTCAGTGCTGGAGCTAGGTTGTTCATCATATTGATTTTCCGACCTAAATAGACATAATTGGAGCATTCGGAGAATATTCGTTCCGTTCAGCGTGAATAGAGCATACGAAACCAATCCGCTTCTCATCAACATCGTTTTTCTGAAATTCAGACGTGGATCAATCTTCCCACAGCTTTACCAAAATCGGTTCTTATTTGTTCCGTCTAATTTTATTATAAGAACGATGTCACCAACAAAGCGAAGTTGGTGTAATTGTCGCCTAACGATTTTCACTCCCATGTTGTTCCATTGCCATTGCAAAGTTCGTATTATGTTCTCAAGAGTGGTGGTGAGTGCTTTTGCAGAGATGGTATTGTCTTGGCTAAAGCCTTTTTTCACGTCGATGTTAACAACGGTGTAGAATGGTGGTACCTTTTACTAAACTACTGAAAACGAGGTTCGACGAGATGATACGATATTACTAAAGATGTTTCCTGCTTCAATGCAGTAGAAGATAAGGTCACGTGACTGGGACGATAAGCTCATACGTACTAATGTGAAATTTCTATCAAATCTTTGTTTTGCAGACAATATTGTTATGTTGTCGGGGAGAACCACCGGAGCATAGATCATTATCAATGAGTCGGACGAAGCGGGAAGAAAGCTCGAACTATGCGTAAACAAGAAGGAGACCCATTCCATAAGGAACCCATAGACCGAAGGCCAAAAAATCGAACTTTGTGGTTCTCTGATTGCAAAGGCTATTTGGGATATGTAACATTGATATTCAATAAACATAGATGAGGAATTAGACAGAAGAAGGAAAACACCTTGGGCCGCATCCCGGTCTACCAAAGGAGCAACCGACTAACTGAAAGATCCGAAAATGAGCAGCCAAGTTTGTCATTTAAAAATCCTTAAAGGGCTTTGTTATGTAGAGACGTGGGTTCATACTTCACCCACGTCAAAAATATCCACACTACTCACAGAGTGCTTGAAGGATGTTTTTTGAAATATAACCGGCACTCACAACGTTTAGCCTGCATGCGCAGCTCAGATCCTCGAAATCTATCTCATCCTAGACTTGAGAGAATACATTTCGATAGCGAACCATGAATTCGACGGTCATAGAATAAGAAGAGCAATTGAAAGACGGACGGAAAGAACAACGGATTGAGCACTAAGAGGGCGCAAATGTGTACATGGACGACCACCCAAACAATGAGCGGACGTATTAGTAGCTAACTGACCGACCCCATTCGCAGATGGAAACAGTTTGAAGACTACAGAATGGGCTTCATGGATGTCACTACACCATGCTCGAAGCACACTATGGACGACGATTGCATGGGAAAGGAACGAATGGTAATTGCTCAAGTGACAGCACTGCCAGCAAAGATGGGCAATGCAAGTACCCAAGTAAGTAAGTGAGTATTTCGCACGAGTGAAGGCACTTGAAAGATGTTATGCTGCTACCAATTTACTAATCTTGGAGGAATACGAGGCTTGAATTGATCTGAAACGGATTTGAACCAAAGCCCACTCGAGTACTATTGAAAGGTATCCCACTAAAGCACCACCGGAGAGTACAGCAGAGATAGAGTTTCCCATATAATGATAGTACTCTAAAATCCTATTCTGCATTGATAGTAAAACACACAGAGCGATACTGGTAGAAAATATAACGTATACTTAATGAATATTTAACCCACAAATAGGACGGGGGCTTTGATTAGCATGAGCTACACACAGCTCGTAATGTGAGGAGCTAAAAAATAAGGCTTCGTTACCAATATGTTAAAAGAATATCCTATCTTCCAGAAACGGCGATCGGGTAGTGTGAGCATGGAAAATTCCGCTTCCACGTCACTGCTACCACAGTCAGCTCCATTGTCCGCTACTCGATCCAGCACACTGCTTACTGTGCCTGACTCACCGATACGCAAACGAAGTGGCAGCGCCCCGGCACTAAAAGTTACCACATTGGTATTTTATCTATCAAAATTTCTAGTCTTCACTTTGCTTTTTAAAACGCTTTAGACATAAAACATCACTAAGCATAATGTGCCTTTATCGAGAAACAAGTTTGAGATTTGATAGAATAAAACCCGGTTCTCTCAGCATTCGTGCAGTCGGTCATGGCGATGAGCATTGGAATTCATGCTCACAATTCACTTCTTCTAGCGTTGTGCAAATATTGCGAATTAAATTTTCCAAAGATTTGAGATGATTGAGTCATTTTGCTTTTCAGCGTTCTCCATACAACGTTTAAAATAATCTCTTAGACGCACGCGCCAAAGGAGCGATTGTAGGTTTGCAAATTCTAGGCGACCCTATGGAACCTAAGAAAGGAACAAGTCCGAGCTCTGCGCATGACCTGGACGCGACTGTGCGAACCACCACGATCCAATTGCAAGGGTATCGTGAATCTCGTGGAGCGTGTTTGGGAGAAACTTGATAGGGTGAGTAGCACCATATTATCAAGTTCCTTCAACATGGTCTAAAATCAAGGTGTTCTTTTTCTGAGCACTTAAAATCTTGTTAAGGCGGTAAGTAGATTGCCGTAAAAATTGACGCGCGAGTGAAGTATAGAGATTTAAGCGACAAAGGATGAAGCGTTGAGTAATCCCTAAAAGATGTGCCATGCCGTCGACTCGATTCGCCGCATTGTAGAGGTGGTTGAGTCTATTTTAGCCTATAAAACCTTGACGTTCCTGCTGATAAGTGTTTTTACTCTCCCAAACAAGTTGAGATTGCCACTAAGAAGGAATATACCTCCAAAGCGGCGGTTAAATTCTTCACCTCTTTGAATAGATCCTTAGTGAACAAGAAATAATTCTTCTATAACGTGGTTAGTTTCCCAGTTCATCTTGCCGTCCATAATGACTCAAATGGTTCAAACGAAACTTAGTGCGTATAATTCGAATAAAGACGAAAATGCAGGTGAGGTACTAAGAAACACTCCAAATCATACAATCAAAATTCGAAGTCGCCAGATATGCAGTCGGTTATCGTGGTAGATGATACGTCTTCATTGAAACTTGAACTTGCTACCAAAAACCATATTCTTCCTTATCATCGAACAATATTACTAAGCAGTGCTTTTTTTGATACTCGTTAGGTAACCCAGAATAAATAGAGGACAAAGGCTCTCGGCGTTGATCAATCAATGAGGAATGCGCCATGCATTCGACTTCATTAAGCATCGTTTGGAGGTTATTGAATGCACATCTGACTTTTACAATGACTCGCGATGGCCTTCCGATGTATCGAGCCAGTGCTGCTATCTTCTTAGACAAGTCTGGTGCCAATTTGCTGACGCCGAAGAGATGGAAGNCTTGGTGGGTTATGGGCACGAGGATCGATTCCACGTGTGTGTTGCAGAGCGCTCCGACCACTGCGCCCGCCACACGCGCCACGGATAGAAGAGTAGAGAAGGAAAATGATTAAGGAACAACCAATACATTTTTAGCAACATTGCCTTCAGTACCTAGTAGTCGTGACCTTTATTGGGGGCCTGTGCGTCTTTGCCTTCAATTTCAAAATTTCAGAAGGATTCCTCAGTGCGGAACATTTTCTACAATGCAGCTTTTGTGGAGACGATGCACGACAGATGTGAGCGAAGGTAGGCATTCGTGACTTGGACATTTTTAGCTCTGATGAGATTAAAACAGAACGAAAATCGTGGCAAAACTTGATTTTGTTCAGACGGTCGAAAGGTTCCATTGCGACTCTACGTGATCATACACACTTTTTCGTTTCTCTTGTATCTCAAGTACGTGACCGTCATCATTGCTAAATTGACGTCTTTTATATATATATATATACCCGTCGAATTAAAGCATAATTTGTTTAGTTCAAAAAATCAAAGGCATACATGTAAGCAAAAAAGTGGACTTTCCAAGGAAACGTTTCACTCTTCAGTTGGAAAATAAGCTCATTCGGTGGCAGCTGTTTCCTTAAGCGAAGATAGATAGCTTAGATGTGATGCAATCCACTGCATTTTAGGTTATCCAGAGCCTTGATCTGAATCCAGAAAATATTCTCAACCACGTCGATACCCTAGGTATGCAAGTCCCATCATTTTTTTAAAGTTTAGTTTAGTTTAATGGAACCGTAATGAGAGATTTTAGGCAGAAATCATGCCTATCTGAGGCAATATGGCTTTCGTTCTCAACATTGGGAGAAGATAGGAGAGTATTTCGTCGACATTGTTGTCATTCAAGTAAGCTATTTTCAACCATCGCCGTTTGCATCATATTTACATCCTTGTTCTTCCTTTCTTTCTTGTGGTACATATATACCCACAATTATTTCTGTTTATTACTCGAAAAATACTTGAAAAACGTTTTTTAAAATCAGAGTCTGAGTTTTGCAAATATCTCAGCGTCATTGCAGTTGGGCGGTTGGAAATTGAGGGAACTAGCTTAACTCTAAATGGTTCTATTTTTTCCACGTTTTTGATTTATTTATTTTATTTGGCCTGTCTTCACGAGCATTGTGCAGATTCCAACACGTTTCACATTCGATTATTTTCCTCGCACCCATTGTCCACGAAGATTTTCCAACTTTTACGTATGACTCCTGAGGATTTCTATTTCATCTTGAATGTTGCAGAATGCTGGTCGACCATTTCTCCCTGGTGTCCTGAGATAGACAGGCTGTAACGTTTCCAGTTAGATTGTAGAGAGTGATTTCTCCCTACAAAAGCCCGGTACCGATTTCACGACCTTGAAGAGATGAGAGGCTTGGTTGGCCTGTAGCGGAATCAAACTAGCACCTTGCTCGTGATGACGGACATCACGACCATTGTGCTATACGTTCCCTTTCACATTTTAGTGATTAAAAAAGGAGTCTGGACATCATTCCTTGCATATATTTTTTATTTGATGGCACGTAAGGCAGAGAAGCGATGTTTTCTCTTTACGTAAGTTTTTTAAAAATTTTCTGGATACTTAGTTGGAGATGTAGTCATACTGTGAAGAAGTTGAAACTGAAAACCTCGGAAAAATTTAAAAAGTATCGTATAATCAATTATTCACTTAAGGTCGTTCTAAAGAGCTTTTATATTTGGAACAACAGCCTTTGAATAGAGCTGTTAACGTCCCGCTTAACCGAACTACAATAAACTCATCACTCTGGTTTTCGCTCACATGCACATCGTATTCCACACATTTATTTTGCCTCTACGCTGTTTGATCGTCCACGTAGGATATAACTCTGGATCCATTCGCTTACTTGTATGGAGCGTGACTATCCCAGTATTATCTTCCTAATAGGTCGTTTCAGACAGCTAATCGCACATCCATTCCGCTTAGGTAGCCTTCAGATTCCTAAGTCGCACGTTAAAATACGAGGAATTGTAAAGAATCCAACAGAGGACAATATAAGTATCAGTTGCTGTTTTCCGTTTTAATGCTTTTGAATTCCGTTTCTAACAAAACATGCTCAAGAGTTTTGACGTTTAGTGAGACGTTTATAGCGTTGCTGAGATCTTCGTAGGCGCTGATAATAATGTCGTTTTGGAATCGCAGGATTCTGTTTATTACATTGTTGTTTATAGTAGCTCATAAACTATTTTCGCATGTTCAATAGGAATGACTTCCTGGCTTAAGGCTTTCTTGAGCATTTCCATCTCAACAGAATAGGGGACGCTATCTCATAGAATTTCATAAATTATGAACTATAAATTAGAAAACTTCGCCACTCCACGTGCCAGTAAATGAAGCACGGACTGCTACAGGGCAAGTTGCTCGCAAAGTTGGAGACTATATTGGATGGCGGGAATCGACTCATACCCGCTTTCTGTGAAAGGGCGCCTCTGAGTGAAGTTTCCCATTAGAGCGGTGGTCCCACTCCACTGGATTCGACTGGCTTCTACAACGAACACTCACATCACGACAATGACCAGCTGTGAACTATCGACTCGCATCAATACCGTTCTAGAGAATACGAGGACGTTGAAACATTAGCCGAATAAAGGTTTTTTATACCAAACTAGTCTCAGCTCATTCATATAAGGAAAGAATTATTGACTCTTGTTACTAAAGTTTGATTAAGCCTTGTTTTTAACGGTGTCTACGGTTCTTGCTTCTTTATCCAATCGCAGACGATTATCAAGCCAGCTCTACGCTGTTTGCCGCAGTCGCCACGCCTGTATAGTGAGACATTTTTCTCGTTTTTTGGGCTATTGGGCTAATGCGAGGTTAACAAAAAGCTTTATTCAGTTAATGTTTCGACGTTCTCATCTTCTTCAGAGACGAAATGATCCCAGTCGATGATCCACTGGTGGTCGTCCTCACTGCGTAGTTGCTTGTTATCGCATCGATTGCATTCCAGTGGAGCAGTGCCGCCCTAATGGCACACTTCACTCAGCGGTGGTTTTGTGCAGGATAGGTGTTGATAGATTCCCACCTCCAGCATGATCTAGTTTGGGCGGGCAATGCGCCCTGTAGCAGTCGGTACACCTAGCACATAGTGAAATAATACTTTTCAAACCGACCGTCATTTCACCTCGGCATTAACAATTAGTATCTCCTTAAAAAATCAATACTTGGCCATGAAAAATATTTTCGTTCTTGTTTTAAGCTTAATCCCTTAAATGATCAGTGGCGGTATAGGTCATAGGTGTAAATAGGGGGTGTAAATCAACTCTATTAGGTCTAATGCTAAAGTAGCTTTGCGAAGAAAATTCGAAGACCTTTTGAGTAAATCACATAATACAGCTTCAATAGCGCACAAAAATATCGCTAAAGAACATCAAACAGATCACGTTAGGAGAGGTAATGTGTAAGAAAATTCAAGGCTAACCGTGTTAGGAGGCATAACTCTCCCTGACGGTGCGCGCTCGTTATTAGAATTGGGGCCGAGTTTCTCACCATCTGAACCCATTTCTAAGATAACCTTGCGTAGGGTCGCACGTGGTTTACATGAACTTCAAGATAGACTCCGCAAAAAAGCTAGAGATGAAGCGCGAAATAGGTGTGAACAACACCAAGTGGGGGCTCTACCAATAGCACCATTTCCTCAGCCGTTCTTTAGACAACAAGAGCCCAATAATGAAGTTTATGTTAAATTTCGGATGTTTGCGAATGAAACTCTCAAACTCCTTAATCACTATCGCGCGAAAAGATACAGCTCCAACCTCACTCCAGTGCAAAAACGTGGTATGCGAGAGGTACGAGACCTGATAAGGTTGAAAACCATAAGACTTTCCGTTAGTGATAAGGGTGGAGAGTTTGTCGTAATTCCTCATCAGTTAGATATGGAGATAACGAAGAAGCATCTTGAGGATGCTTCGCTTTATCGCCCATCATCTGAGGAGGAATTCAAAAGTAAATACCGAAAACTAAACCACGAATGAGCCAAAATGGCAAGGGCTGCTGGTTTGAAACCATCAGTTATCTCTCAACTTAAAGTTGCCTTACCAACATGCCCCGTCTTGTACTTACTTATAAAAACTCATAAGTTAGTATCCAGCGATGATCTTGCGTCTAACGATCCATCACTATTTAAGGTTAGGCCTATTATTAGCTGTGTAGACGGGCCAACGGACAGCATAACATGGTTTTTAACCCTAATATTTAACCAGTTGTTGAAACACATTCCAGCCCATCTTACGAATACCCAGATGTTTCTGGATCGTCTACGTACTGCGCAGCCCAACAGCGCGTGCGTGATGGAGTCCTTCGACGTTACCGCCCTTTATACAAACGTGTCGAATGACTCCGCAATGCAAGCCATGTTCGAACTCCTTACACAACACGAGGAGAAATA